TAGCATACTTCTTCAAATTTCTACAAGATGTCAGTTTTTTCTTTGCGTTACATCATTATGTTGTGGGGTGTTGGCACAAGTGTACTGATAACATATTCGACATTTCCTTAGGTATTAAGAGAACTCATTTGAGTTATATTATCCTCCATTGTCTGTGCGCAAGCAACATATCTTCTTTCTCACTTATCCTTCAGCTGAATCTCTGAACTCTTTAAACTTTCAGAATGTGTCAGATTTTTCTTTCATAAAGAAAACCCACACATACCTGGAGAAGTCATCAATGAATGTTACAATGTACCGCATACCGCTAATTGACTATTGCTTAAATGGTCCGAACACATCAGAGTGAACTAATTCCACTGGTTCTTTTGCTTTAAAATTTGACTCGTCATATGGTAATTGGTGTACTTTACCATACTGGCATCCCGCACAGACCGTGTCTACTCTCACGTCTAATTGAGGAAGCCCCTTAAGCATCGACTTTTCACCATCACATTTAGCTTGTAATAGCTAACGTGACCTAACCGCATGTGTCATAGATCTGATGTCTCATTTTTTCTTCTCCTGTCTACGGATGCAGACTCTGCTGATATTACGTAAATTGACTCCAAACGTCGTCCCTCCATTGTTGGTGTTTTTGAGATTTTGAGGTCACGATAAACCTTCACGTATTGGGGATAAAATAAGACATAATGACCTGGCAAACATCTTGAAGTTACACCTGGTTAGAATTATATCGAGGCGTAACTATCGTCTTACCGATGTGAGTTATCGGTAACCTTGAGTTGTTAGTTTTCACCACCACACGACCTCCATTGTACTCAGATATGTTTTACAACTTCTGTTTGTCACCCGTCATATAATTTGAGCAACCCGAATCTACAATCCAATCATTATTGTAGTCAATCCGTCATGTGTTGTTATTGTGAGAGCTAATTCTTCTTCCTCCGTAGCAAATAACGCTTCAACATCCCAATCATCTTCACTATTCTCCTTCGAGCTAGAAGTAGAAGTATTACTTTCAACATGATTTTCTTGGTCCAACTGTCTTTTGCCATGTGACCCATCTTCTCGCAGTTGTAGCACTTGCTATCGAACTTTCTACTATTACCGCGAGTCTTAGAAGCTTCCTTGAACGAGAGTCATTCCTTCCCTAATGACTTTTTGTCTGTTCGCTAGTCTTTTTAGATCCGTCTTTGTTGTTCTATCTTGAACCAACTCTGCTTTGGTTGATGTAAAACATTTCCTCTTCACTCTTTAGTAAGACTCCTCCCATTTTCTTGGCCATAGTTTCTTGGTCTGTCAGCAAATTTTCAAACTCAACAAGTGATGGTTGTGTCGGCCATCCTTGTACAGCGGCTACAAAGCTTCGGTATTCAGGTCTCAAGCCATGGACAATTATTCTTTTTATCCTGGCTTCCCCAATAGAAACTGTCGGATCTAATTTTGAAATTTCACAACATATCAACTTCAACTTATGAAAGTATTGGGTAATCGCCATGTTGCGTTGCGCCATTGATAGAAGTTCATTCTCCATAATTTTCAATTTTGTATCGTTCCCCTTTGAAAAGAGTGTAGCGAAGGTGTCCCACGCATCCTTCGGTGATTTAGCATCCCGAATGTGCTCCAACATTTCCTCTTCTATTGTGGTCTTTAAAGCAAACATTGCTTTGCCTGCTTTAATTTTCCATTTTTGCAAGATGTCGTTAGCATCTTCCGCTGCCGGTTGTGTAACTTCACTACCACCGATAACCTTTCACAAGTCTTGACCTTGAAGGTAAGACTCTATACATGTTGCCCCCGTGTTATAGTTTTGGTTGTTGAGCTTCTTGATTTCTCCAACTACTTGAAGGTCACCCATCGTAACAGTAAGGCTTTGACTGCATCAAACAAGCTTGAGTAACAAACGTGCAGAGTACTAAATTACTCTAACACAAAGAAGCTCCACAAGGTTTGTAATAATCCCGACAATAATCTCAAGAAATATTTTTTGATGTGGAAGATCAGTTAAAAAATGCAGCCACTGAGCATACTTGGAATTTCAAGAGACCTTATAACGTGGCTTTGATACCAATTATTGGATCAAAATAGAGTTGGAACTCTAATTGACTGAGAAGAAGAAAAAACTCTCTTTAGAATAATCTCACAAAATTGCAAAAGATGAAGAACTCTTAAGAAAGCTTTCAAATACTTATAATTAAGATTTTATTGTTGGATAATAAAACTCAAATACAAGTAGGGTATTTATAGGTTTCAAGAAACAATCTAAACCACTCATTAAAATAACCACAAAATAATTTAAACCATTGAAATTAAAAATGAGAAAAATACCTAATTTTTCACCTAACTAAATTGATGTAAGCAATAACATCAAAACTAAATTGATGTAAGCAATGACATCAAATTAATTTAAGTGTGGGATTATTTAGGCTAATATTGACTTCTTAACAATATATTTTAGCAAAATACAATATTTTATATGACACACGGTTGGTTTGACTATAGTTCCATGAATCTCAAAGCTTCATCTTACCTGTATGGAACTTGCAGTGCAGTACGGAATCTGCTTTTCTCGTATGAAGATCCGTACTCTGCAACATCTTCCTCGCTCAGCCATGGCGGCAGAGAAGTAGATGAGTCAACCAAATCCATGATCTCTTGATTATTAGAAGCTGCAACTGGGGGTTCACTTCCGGAGAACATAATATAAATCTTGCGTACTATTGTCTTTGTGTCAAAGCGGTCGAAATCAACTTCAGCTCTCCCCGGTGTCTGCATGAGAAGGGGATTTACAGCACACAACATGCCGGACATGACAAAGTCGAGCTTAATTTGTAGTACTCACAAGCCATCTTAGCAAGTAAAAGCCTGATGGAACTAGAGGAAGTTGTGTTTGGAGTGGAGAAAAGCCTGGTAGAAGGAAAGGAACGCCTAGTAAGGTGATGGTACACACTATTTCAGGGTGAAGTACGCCCACCATGGTGGCTACGAAGGCCCTGAAATCCTTGGAAACAAGATGTGCCTGGTTTCAACGGTTGAAAAAGATGAACATATGTGCCGGGATCGCGTACTTTAATATATCAAAGTCGATAAAAAAGGGTACCTTACTGATTCCTAAAGAGTTGAAAAGGGCAATCACATCATCAACAAAATCATTAAAGGTTGCCCTCTCTGGTTCTGATGGATGGTCTGAGAGTCCATAGCCCCTAAAATCAAAAGAAATAGCTCGGTAGCTGGCGTTAGCCACCGCAACCATCTGTTGCCTCCATGAATACCAAATTTCAGGGAATCCATGCATGAACACCACCACCTTAGGACCTGCACGCTCCCACAAATCCCCATCATCGTAAGAAACAAGTTATATCTACTAGGAATAATTAGGCAAAATAAACAGGTTGAGCAGTATTAAGTAATTTCTAACCAGATCCAATCTGGGCCACATGAAGCTTCAGTCCTTTAGCTTGTTCATGGCTTAGCTTGTTCATGGCTGTGCTCAATCTTTTCCATTGTTTAGATAGGTGGATCAAGTGGAGTGAGACTGGTATCAAAGCCTTTCGAGGTATCTGTAACCCGAGCCTTTTATCAAAAAAGAAAGGCAAAATGGTAGTTAAAGCGCTCGAACTTTTAGGGGAAAAAATCAAGGCTCCAATAATTTTTTTTTTGCATCCAAAGTGGTATTCCAAGTAAAAAAAAATGAATCTGATTCTTTGATGCGTCGTTGACCAACGGCTCTGTTATTTTGTGCTAATATGGCGCGTTAAACAGGCCAACATCCTATTTTTCTCTCGATATGACCCTCCAACTCAAGAAAATAACACAATTTATGTATGATGTGGTATTTTTTTTCTTTTGTATTAATATTGGTGTGAAATTAATTAATAATAAAAATGTTGATGCAAACCCCTTAATTAATTAAACTTAGAGTGGGAGATAAGTAACAGTCAACGTTCTTTTTTTCTACAATTACAACATACAAGGTGAGGTACAAATTGTCACAAATTCATTACATTTATGCATTCTTCGTGTGATTTGGACACTATACACTCACATGATTAAATATGTTAAATTATTATAATCAATTCAATATGTTAAATTTTTACATATGGTCGCATAATCGAAGAGAATATATGCTTTAAAACAACCACATGTTTTATAGAAGCTTTAAAGAAGATAAAAACAAGTTCATTATGATCACGAGAAATACAAATTATTGACCATTAGACTTTGTTATATGTTATGAGAAGAGAGTGAGAGTGTAAATAATGATGAGAAATAAGAAGGGTAATAGTAAAATTTTATTATTTGTAAAAATAAACTATTAAAATTATAATTTTAAATATATATATATATATATTATTTTTTTAAAATATAAAAAATAGTTATAGTTGCAGGGTTAAATAGGGTATTATCAATTAAAGTTAATGTATAATATCTATTTTGTAAGAAAATAAAAAAAATGATATTCATTTATAATTTTAAGAATTCAATAAACAAAAAAGGATTTCGGTATAATTTACTCAGAATTTGTCTTTACACATTAAACTTTATACATTAAACTTTATACAAAATCTAATCTAAATAAAAGTAAACCCTATCCACATTAAATATATTAATAAAAATAATATTAAAATCAAATATTAAGCATCAAGGATGACAGTATGACCCGAACCTGACGAAGAAACCCGAAACCCGATCAAGTTCAAGTCGGGTCGACTTGAATGATATCGGATCGGATCGGGTATCAAAGATTTTTTTTTAAGAATTTTTCGAGTCGGGTTCGGGGTAAGATATTCCACCTTAACTCGCCCCGATTATATATATATATATATATATAATATTTTATATTAATTATATATAAAATATTTTCAGACTCAAATATAATATTTCGGGTCGAGTTCGAACATAGAGTAAAAAAATCTCTGATGGCCACCGATAAAAAACCCTCCCCGAAAACGACATGTTGCCATTCCTATTAAGCATTAATATACACTAAAAGTAGAAAAATCAAAACACCCTCATCCCTGAATTTCTAAATCGAAAAAAATCCCAACTCAGCCGGCCACTCGCCTGACTCGAATCCCACCTCATTCATCTCATCTCATCTCTCACCTTAGTTGGCGCCGTTCAGGCAGCACCCACGCTCCCCACTCTGTTCTCAGTCAGCCGGCATCCGCTACAGTCTCATTCAGATCACCTCAGCCGGCAGCCGGCGTCTTTCCATCTTTCTTCTTCTTTACCTCGAATTTCAAATAATCTGTTCTTTTGTTTTTCCAGGACCAATATGCTATGGAGATGCCACTGCGGCATCCTCCCTTCAACGGGAAGAACTGTGGTGCTCAAAGCAATTCGATTCATGTCAGTTCACCCATTTTCAGCTCCAGAGGGAAGTTCGATTCGTTGTGTAAAATGAGTAGGCTAGCAGAGGCATATCAAGTGTTGGGTTTGATGATTACTCTTGGAGTTTCTGTATCAATAAAGGTTTGGAGTATATTGATTGATGTGTTTTTTCGGTTGCATCAACCTGATTTAGCATATGCTTTGTTTAATAAGATGCTCAGGACTGGCTGCTCTCCTAATCTGGTGATATACACTAATTTGATCAAGGGATTTTTGGATTCCAAAGTGGTTAATACTGCTTCTAGCATTCTAAATAGAATGGAATCTGACGGATATGTTCCCGACTTGGTTCTCTGTAACGTATTAATAGATTGTTTATCCAAAGGTGGGAGGTATGATGATATATTTGATATTTTCCTGAGGTTGCCATACAGAAAATTGGTACCCGATTCTTATACATTTTGCTCCTTGTTATCTAACATTTGTTTGTCCCAGAGGTTTTCTCTGTTACCTAATATAGCTAGTGGACTTGCAATAGAAGGGGACCTAATGGTTTGCAATTCCCTACTAAACTACTTTTGCAAGGCTGGCTATCCATTGCATGCTGTAGAATTATATGATTACATGCTTGATAGCGGTTTAACACCTGATAAGTATAGCTTCGTTGGATTACTTAGTGGGCTTTGTGGAGCTGGAAAAATTAATAAAGCTGTTGGTGTTTATCGAGGATTAATAATGTCTTATTGTGGTCTAGATGCTCATGTCCATACTGTTATCATGGATAGGCTCATAAGAGCTGGTAAATATCACACAGCCATCAAATTGTTTAGGAGGGCACTTGTAGAGAAATACCCACTAGATGTTGTATCATACAATGTTGCTATCCATGGACTTCTCAAGAGTGGAAGGACAGGAGAAGTTCCTACTTTGTACAGCATGATGAAGGAAATTGGTATTTTACCTAACGTGCACACATATAATTTGATCATTTCTGGTTTCTGTAAGGAAAGAAATGTCAAAATGGTCAAGCAGTCGATGCAAGAAATCAGTGGGACAGAAGTTCAGTTGTACCATCACACTGTGAACAACATAATTAAACTGTTGTTCAGATCATATCCATATCCTTCAGCCTTCAATCAATTAGTCGAAATGTGGAAATCTGGATTGATACCTGATGAGGCAATGTATGCACAATTCTTCAAGGGGCCAGCATCTGGAATAAACATAGCTCAAGCACAGCGCTTGCTTGTGAGGGATGAAGTATGGGTAGACTCATCTAGCTTTGAAGACCTTCCTGATGTGGCTGCTTCTGTGGGCTGAGCTGTTGTCTGAAAATAAGTCTTCTCATATATCAGTAGATGGAGCAGCTGCTTGGATTCTATGTAGATCTGCTCTCCAATGGAATGTAGTCCCAACTATAAAGGTAAAGGTAGTAGCTCTTTCCATTTGATAAAATAGTTATCGTACTTTACTAGTTCTTTCAACCAATTAATCACTAACTTGATCAAGAATACATTACGAACCTTCTATAATGAGTTACTTGTTTTTTAATATTTCGCATGCAACAAGTTTGAAATTTTATTGGTTTTTGGAAAATTGCAGCAAGGCTCTGTCAGAAGAATGGAGTGTTGAATAGGTTGAGCAGAATATGGTGTGAATGGTTGGGGAAAGAGGCTACAAGAAATGATGAATTGGCTCTTGTTACTTTTGCTTATAATTGTGATCTAGGCAGAGAGAAATTACTCGAAGACGGAAAATTACTTTTAACATATGGTTCTCCCACTGAATTGGGCAATGTTGAAGCTGCTAGCGGCAAAAGGTCCAAAAGAAAAAAATCATTTTCTGACCCAGAGGATATAAGTGAATCTTTGAGTAATCAATGCAATTCACCTGGGGAAAACTCTTCAACTTCAAATCGTGCTTCTTCAAAACTGGCATTAGATCAATAAGATGATCAGCTTCTGCTCACAAGATTTATATCAAGTGAGGTTATAAGGCGAGGGCTAAGACGGCAACAACGTATAGCTGTTGAAAAAATGTGTGATGTCTGTCAGCAAAAGATGCTTCCTGGGGAAAATCTAGCAACGCTCTTGAACTTAAATACTGGAAAACTTGTTTGCAGTAGTAGAGCAGGGTACGATTCTCTACTTTGCCTGGCTCTGACCACCTTTTATGTTATATAGGAGGGCCTTAAATAAATTTTCATCTTGTTGGTCAATATGGTCCATTTTATTGTCTCAGCTTGAAGCATAACATGTATATTTAAGTTCAAGTCTTACTCACATCTATCATCTTTTTAAAAGAAAATTTGTAGGCATTCCATTTATATCACACTTCATGCCTTATACATTGGATACTTCTCTGGGATCTCGAGACAATTGAAAACCATTCAGTTAATCCAAAAGTAAGGAGACGATGTAGAAGAAAAATGGAATCAAATGCAGTGAGATGGGAAAGGATTTGAAGATTAAAGCTACAGGGTTTCTTATTTCTTCCGTATTTTACCCAGTGTGCCAAGGTACTGAAATTGAGGTTGAGGGAGATGAGCTGGAGAAGCTTGATATCTCTCTGTCTCAGGTATGTGTTTTGTGATCTTAAAAAACTGAGTTGCTGTTATTCCAATTGTGTAGATATTTCTGTCGGTTAAGATGGTTTTTATTGTACTTCCAGATGTTCAGATACAAGATTGAAGTGAGTGATGGTCGTAGAGCCTGGATAAAAAATACTGAAATGCTGGGAGAATCATTCAACAGGGTTTCACTTTTCTTCTGAATTTGGAGAGATGATTCAGGTATCCAGACTTGTGCTCACCATTCCCCCTTTTGCACCAATGAAAATTGGAGACCTTATGTTCACTCAACTTTGGTGTTTGCAGGGGAAAGTATTGCTTCATTTACAAGTGTGAATCAGGAACAAGTTTGGTGGGCTGAATTATGTGCAATTGACATTAGTAAACCATACATAAAATTGTTGCATTTCATTCTACTTTTCTACTTTTCCGTGATGGGGCTTTGTAATTACCTGTTGTCTGCAATTTAAATGAACAGGCAGTCATTTACAAAGTTACACCACCACCATTAACATTGTTGTCTGCAATTTATATCAGAAATATGTATTGTACCTTTATACTCAGCTACTGTACTTTCTTTCAGTTTTAACGTTTGAATTGATTGAAATGAGATGCAGTGGATTTCTTTTATCCTACTCCCCTTCCCTTTCTTCCAACAAAAGGTTACCCACACATTACAAAGTTACACCACCACCATTAACATTGTTATACATATTATATACATCAGTCACACTATTTACAATTCAATGTGGTATTGCTCAATAATCAAGCATACACTCATTTCTAAGCAATTTGAATGTTTTTACTCTACAAATACTCCTGGACTCCTTAGTGGACAACATTAGTAGGCAAAATCCCATTAAACAATTATGAATTTGTCAATCATTGGTTGATTAACAGTCAATGTTTATTACTGACGTGATAAATCTTATTATTCTAAGTAACAATGTGACATATGCCACGTTGATATATGTCATATGTCATAGGTATATAATGTGATGATATGATACATTTCATGTGTACATAAGTGATGTTGTGTTACATGCATATAAGTGATGATGTGATATATATATATATATAGTAATGATGTGATATATGTTGTCATTATTTTTTATATATATGACTTATAATGTCAACGATATACACTGATCGTTAATTAACTAATAGTTTATATTCTATCAATAATATTTTACCTTAAAATAAAACATTAGAAATAAAAGTATTTGAAAGAAGAATAATAAGAACAAAAATAATTATTGTGTTAACGTTAAAAGTTAAGTAGCAAAAAAAATGGGTTGGATTAATCATTTCTATTCTTAAAACATGAGAAATCAAATTAATTGGAAAGAAAGAAGAAGAATATAAATTAATTATTTTGTAAACGTTGAAAGTGAAAAAACAGAAAAGATGGTTTGGATTAATCGGCTATCAGCAAATGGCTAACGGCTTCCTTCCATTTTCGGTTTGGATATCCGTTTGAAAGAGAAGAATGAGGTGGGTGGCACTGGCCAGTCAAAGGGCAAGTGCCTACGACTTGGGAGTAAGGACCCGAGAGTGTTGTTCTCAGCTCATCTGAGAAGATGACACGCCCGCCTTTTCCCACTTTTTCTATTTTTCATATCTGTTTTTGGCTTTCCTTTTTTTTTCTCTAAAAACAGAAACCGACACCGCCTCATCTTTTCTTACCGTTTGTGCAAATGTCCCTCACTGACCGTCCCGCTCCACTCGAAGATGAACCATTCAACGTAATCCCCGTCCACAACCTCCTCGCCGACCATCCTTCCCTCCGTTTCCCCGAAGTACGCGCCGCCATATTGCTCTACGCAATGTCGGAGATCTACCAAAGCCTCCCATCGTACAATGGCACACTACCATGGACCTCCTGGACTGGCTGGCTCTCTTCTTTGGTTTCCAAAGTGATAACGTCAAAAACCAGAGGGAACACCTCGTCCTCCACCTGGCCAACGCGCAGTTGCGCCTCTCTTCTTCGCCCGATAACATCGATATCCTTGACCCTGTCATCCTCCGTTCTTTCATCCGAAAACTCCTAAAAAACTACACAAACTGGTGCTCTTATTTACGCAAGGAATCCAACATATGGTCCAGCAGTCATTCTACCTCTGATCAGCGGCGTGACTTACTTTTATCGGGCTTTATTTGTTGATCTGGAGTGAAGCTGCGAATCTACGTTTTATGCCTGAATGCATCTGCTACATATTCAATAACATGGCAATGTAACTAAACAAAATTCTCGAAGATTATACCGACCGGAACATAGGTCAGCCTGCTATACCGTCGACATTTGGAGAAAACGCTTTCTTAAACTCTGTTGTGAAGTCAATATACGAGACGATTAAGGCCGAAGTTGAGTGTAGCAAGAACGAAAACGGCGCCGCATTCTTCTTGGAGAAATTACGATGATTTGAACGAGTATTGTTGGAGCGGAGATGCTTTCACGAACTCAAGTGGCCGATGGATGTTGGGTGCAAATTTTTTGTTGATTCCAGTAAGAGAAAACGTGCTCGGAAAACAGGGTTCGTTGAGATAAGGTCGTTTTGGAATCTTTTCAGGAGTTTTGATCGTCTTTGGGTGATGCACTTTTTGTTCCTTCAGGCCGCGATTCTTGTGGAATGGGAAGGGGAATTGTATCCATGGCAAGCATTGAAAAATAGGGATGTTCAGATTAGGATTTTGACAGTGTTTATCACTTGGGAGTGGATTAAGGTTTCTGCAAGCTTTATTAGATGTATGGATGCAGCATAGCCCCGTCTCTTTTGCGAAACCAGGGCTCGGCATTAGGATGTTGTTAAATACGGTTGTCGCCGTGGCCTGGATCATAATTTTCACAGTTCTACATATAAAGATTTGGGAGCATAGGAAGACTGATCAAACATGGAGCGCTGAGGCTAATAGGTAGGTATTCCTTTATCTAAAAGTTGCGTTTGTTTTCGTGTTACCGGAGTTTTTAGCCTTGGCTCTGTTTGTGCTTCCATGGATTAGTAACTTTTTCGAAGAGACGAACTGGAAAATATTTTTTGTCATGTCTTGGTGGTTTCAGAGAGAGAGTTTTGTTGGTCGAGGACTGAGGGAAGGTCTTGTTGATAATGTTCGGTATAAATTGTTCTGGGCAGTAGTGTTAGCTACAAAGTTTGCATTTAGTTATTTCCTGCAGATTCAACCGATGATTAGACAGACCAAACAATTGTTGGCCCTTAAAGAGGACGAGTACGATTGGGACGATGTATTTCATGGCCGTAACAAAATCGTGGTCGGATTGTTGTGGTTGCGTGTGGTGCTTATTTACTTGATGGATATTCAGATATGGTATTCTATTTATTCCTCCTTTGTGGGAGTAGGAGTGGGGTCATTCCAGCACATTGGTGAGATTAGAACCATCCAGCAATTGAGGCTAAGGTTTCAGTTCTTCGCCAGTGCAATTCAGTTTCAATCTGATGCCTGAAGAGCAGTTATTAAATGGCAGAGGATCGTTTTGGGGCAAGTTCGTGGATGCTATTCTTCGACTGAAGCTAAGATATGGGTTCGGGAAACCTTACAAGAAGCTTGAATCAGACCAGGTTGAGGTTCACAGGTTTGCTCAGATATGGAATGAGATAATTACCACTTTCAGGGAAGAAGACATTATCTCTGATCTAGAAGTTGAGCTGCTCGAGTTACCCCAGAATGTTTGGAATATCAGGGTTATTCGCTGGCCATGTTTCTTGCTATGTAATGAGCTGTTGCTTGCTCTCAAACAGGCAAAAGCGTTGGCGCAGGCTCCTGATAAGTGGATCTGGAATAGAATATGCAAGAATGAATACAGACGTTGAGCCGTGATCGAAGTTTACGACAGTATCAAGCACATGACGCTTACAATCCTCGATGTCCAGTCCGGGGAGCACTCCATCCTCACTTCCCTATTTCTGGAAATCAATCATTCTATCGAAATCGAGAGGTTCAGCAAGACATTTAATATGAATGTACTACCTCAGATTCATATAAAGCTGATAAAACTTCTTCAGATACTGAATAAACCCAAGAAAGATGCGAACCAGGTGATCAATTCCTTACAGACCCTTTACGAGGCTTCCGTCCGTGATTTTATCAAAGGCGAGAGGACAATTGAGCAGCTGTTTGGCAATGCAGTTAAGTTGTCCGACCCAGGTGACGAGAAGTTCTATCGGCAGGCTAGGCGCTTGCTTACAATTCTTATCTCCAGGAATTCTATTCAGAACATTCCGGCTAATATCCAGGCTAGACGTCGACTTGCTTTCTTTAGCAACTCACTCTTCATGAATATGCCTCATGCTCCCCAACTAGAGAGGATGATGGCCTTCAGTGTTCTCACCCCTTACTACAATGAAGAGGTACTCTATAGCAAAGAACAGCTCGTGACCGAAAACGAAGATGGGATTTCCATCTTGTATTATTTGCAGACCATATATGATGACGAGTGGAAAAACTTCATAGAAAGAATGCGGCGAGAGGGAATGGTAAAGGATGAAGAGATATGGACAACCAAGAAGGAAGAACTAAGGCTATGGGCATCTTACCGAGGCCAGACACTTTCACGCACTGTTAGAGGAATGATGTATTATTCTAGAGCTCTGAAGCTGCTGACGTTCCTTGATTCTGCATCAGAGATTGACATCAAAAGCGCACAGGAACTTGGTTCTACTACCAGAGCTAGTTTAAGTAGTTTCTACCTCGAGAAGTCTCCTTCTCAAGGTCTATTTTTCCAAGGCAATGAGCAGGTAATGTCTTCAATGAAATTCGCAAATGTGATTGCCTGCCAAATTTATGGGGCTCAGAAGGCCAAAAAGGATCCACATGCTGAGGAAATCTTATGTTTGATGAAACACAATGAACCCCTTCAAGTTGCTTAAGTCGATGAAGTTTCCACTGGAAGGGATGAGAATCAACAATTACAGCATGAGGTGGAGATCTATCGTGTCAAATTGCCCGGTCCATTGAAGATTGGAGAGGACAAACCAGAGAATCAAAACCATGCCCTTATCTACACCCGTGGTGATTCTGTTCAAACTATTGATATGAACCAAGACAGCTATTTTGAGGAGGCATTGAAAGTACGCAATCTCTTAGAGGAGTATGGTGTAAACTATGGAATACGAAAGCCGACTATCTTGGGTGTCAGGGAACACGTTTTTATGGGTTCTGTTTCATCACTTGCTTGGTTTATGTCAGCTCAAGAAACAAGTTTCGTCACTTTGGGACAACGTGTCTTGGCGAATCCTCTGAAAATCCGGCTGCATTATGGCCATCCAGATATCTTTGACAGGTTTTGGTTTTTGGCTCGAGGTGGACTCAGTAAAGCTTCCAGAGTGATTAACATTAGTGAGGACATTTTTTTCTGGCTTCAATTGTACTTTGCGAGGAGGTAATATCACACATCACGAATACATCCAGGTCGGAAAAGGAAGGGATGTTGGATTGAATCAAATATCGATGTTTGAAGCCAAGGTTGCCAGTGGGAATGGTGAGCAAGTTCTCAGCAGAGATGTCTATCGGCTGGGTCACAGATTTGACTTCTTCCGGATGTTACAATTCTTTTATACTACTGTAGGTTTCTTTTTCAGTACCATGATGGTCATTCTAACCGTATATGCTTTTCTTTTGGGCCGACTTTATCTCGTTCTTAGTGGCATTGAGGATGCTGCCTTGGCTGACAGCCACACCAATAAAGCTCTGGGTGCCATCTTGAATCAACAGTTCATCTTCCAACTCGGACTTTTCCCTGCCCTTCCAATGATAATGGAGAATTCCATAGAACATGGATTCCTTGAAGCTATCTGGGATTTGTTAACAATGCAGCTTCAGCTTTCATATGTCTTCTACACTTTTTCCATGGGAACCTCCACTCACTTCTTTGGTCGGACTGTCTTTCATGGTGGTGCCAAGTATCGGGCAACTGGCCGTGGTTTTGTCGTGCAGCACAAGAGTTTTTCAGAAAATTACAGATTGTATTCTCGCAGCCATTTTATAAAGGCTATTGAACTTGATCTAATACTTACAATTTATGCATCTTATAGTCCTTTAGCCAAGGACACATTTGTTTACATAGCTATGACTGTCTCAAGTTGGTTTCTGGTCCTGTAATGGAGTATGGCACCCTTTGTATTCAATCCTTCTGGTTTCGATTGGATAAAGATGGTTTACGACTTTGACAAATATATGAACTGGATATGGTACCGCGGTAGCGTGTTTGCAAAGGCTGAACAGAGTTGGGAGAGATGGTGGTATAAGGAGCAGGAACATCTAAGGACAACCAGCCACAGGGGAAGGCAAGTAGAGATACTCTTGGACCTTCGATTTTTCTTTTTCCAGTGTGGGATGGTATACCATCTGGGTATTACTGATCACAATACCAGTCTTGTTGTTACTTCCTGTCTTGGATCTACATTTTCGTGGCATTTGGAATTTATCTGGTTATCTCATATGCTCGGGACAAATATGCAGCTAAGAAAAACATATATTTCCGGCTTGTTCAGTTCCTCGTCATTATTTTTGGAATACTTCCTATAGTTGTGTTACTTGAATTTACAGCCTTTAAATTTTCCGACATCTTCACCAGTTTATTGGCTTTCCTTCCCGCCGGCTGGGGACTCTTGATTGAGCAAGTACTTCGGCCCTTACTGCAGCCTACCTGGCTTTGGGGGTTCAGTGGTGTATGCGGCTCGGGTATATGGTATAATGTTCGGTGTTATTGTTATGACCCCAGCGGTGATTTTGTCGTGGATGACCGGATTTCAGTCCATGCAGACGAGGATCTTATTCAATGAAGCATTTAGCAGGGGTCCAAGGATCTTCCAGATTGTTACCGGGGTGAAATCCAGATACTCGTAGTTTGCAGAAATTTATCAGCACTTAATAGTCCGGTTCATGCTTTGCTTCTGCCCTGAGATATTTCACAACCATTCTGGTGCTCTATGTAATGGAATATGCAAAGATTTTCAACGAAAACATCATGAAAATAGTGAAACATATTCATTAGAATATTCAAGCTTATACAGCAAGTTTTCTTCTTTCATAAAATACTTGTTAGGCTGTCAAATTATTATTTTCGAGGAATTGTTGTATTTTGAATAGGCCTTCGTTTTCGTAAACCAGGGGCGGATGTATTAAAACTTGGGGAATAATCATTATTAGGGGGAATGATCTTTTTTGGAATTGTATTATTATATTTGGCTCATGGAAAAGATTATTACTAGATAATAATTTATTACCAACGATAGTATTTTTTTGTTAAAATGGTGGGAATGTCATTACCTTAGTGGGAATGTCATTACCTTCAAATTCTTAGGTAATGAACAATTCCCACCACTTTGGACAAAAATAGATCTTATACATTAAAAATAACATATTTATCCACTCGAGGTCATAATATTATTTTTCATATTATATTATATTTATACACGAGGGCAATTCAGATTGTCCGACAAGATTGATGTTCATGTATATTAACCCTTGCTTTCGGCTTTGATGTTGTGTGGCTTGGAGTGGGTAATTTTGTACCCTTTATGGTCCCCTCCCTCGGTGATTCTTTCGTCACTTGGAATTTACCCTTGGCTTAACACTTGTAATTGAGCTAAGTTTACATACTTCTTCCTCTGAATTGTCGTCTTCTTCAGAAACGGCTGCGAGTTTTTCAGTGTGGGGCAATCTCTTGCAAAGTGTCCTTGCTCATGGCAATTGAAACAATGGATCGATTGGATGTCCCCCTTCTCTTTTGACTTGTTGCGTCGATAGGTTATGCCTTTTGTAGGCTCCTCATCATCACTTGATAGGCTTTGTTCTTGGCCTTTATCTTGGTTTCTCTTACTAGGACCCACGACTTTTGATTTGGGAGGCTTGGGTTTCTTAACACCAAGTTCGATGAGGGATTCGACGGTTGTCAAAGTTTTAGACAATTCTTAAACACTCCTTCTTTTCAGCTCGTTTTTGGTTAATGGATTTAATCCGTCCATGAAGGTGAAGAACTCGACAATTGTTGAACGTGCTCCCTTAGAGAGCCTTCTTGCCTAAGATGCCTTAGTTTTGATCGTGCCTCATTCTCGGCATGATAAGGGTAAAATTGCTCTTTGAACTTAGCTTGGAATTCTGCCCAGGTTCCAAATGTGGTGTCATCTCGTTTCATCACAGTGGATTTACGTCGCCACCATAAGAGTGCTAAATCAGTTAGGTAAACAGAAGCAATGTTTACTTTTTCAATATCATTCTCGATGTCCATGGCTCAAAAGTATTGGTCCATGTTCCACATAAAATTTTCAACGTTTTGTTATATCAAAAAGGGGGAGATTGTTGAAAACATTTTGATGTTTCGATATAACAAAATAAGTTAAATGAATTTTAAGATTTTACAAAAGATTTTCTAAGTATATTCGATGTAATTATTCGAATATCAAAATATTACTCCAAGTCTTTCAAAGTTCATTTTAATCCTTACTAAAGTGTAAAATTGTGTTTTATACTTAAACTATTTTTAAAACAATTTTACAAAGTATTTCGAACCGTTTCAAAGCCAAGAAAAATCAGATTGTCCAGGGGGTACAGATTCTCCCTGCATGTTTTTTGCTCCCAGAAAACATAATGTCCAGGGGTACATATTCCCCCCAGGGGGTACCGATTCCCCCCTGTTTAACGGTCGAAATCAAATTGTACTTAGGGAACCGATTCCTTATGAGGGAGTACCGATTCCCCCCACGCTCCAAGCTGTTTTATTAATGGATTCTTATCTCTAAATGGCTCCAAAACATCCCCAACGGCTATATACGACTTCAAACACATTCCAAGCTATAAATACAAGTTAAGGACACTTGAAGAAGCAAGAGAACAACTATCCAAGCAATCAAACACAAGAGAAGAGTTTTTCAATCTTATTTAATCTTTCTCTTGTAAATATTTTGTTCTTGTGAGCTCAATCTTGTAAACACCTACTTAGAGAGGTTTTCTTGTTTACATATTTTATCCTTTTGTAAAGGGGAAAGGTTCTAGCTTGGCCCGTGTAAAAGCTAGGGAAAGGTTCTAGTTTAGCCCGGAAAAACTAGGGAGTTTGTAAGGTTACTCTTTATCCTCAAAAGAAAGAACAAATTAGTGAATTTGTTGGAAAATTCTTGGTGAGGAGCTAAGGTAATGGACGTAGACTTTGGTTGAGAAAGTCGAACCACTATAAATCGCTGTGCAATTCTCTATCTTTCAATCTCCTTACTCCCTTAACACAAAACCGTTCCGACCCCTCTTTGCAAACCGTTCCGGTTGTTGATTCGAGCTTCCAAAAATCCTAACAGTCTCTCTCACAGAGTCATCAAGTCTGGTGATCTTACTTTGGAGCAATGCAAGCATGTTCTTTGACGTTCCTCGCTTCTTCTATGCGTTGCGAGTCTCGATGCCTTTGGATGCTACTGCCTCGCCACGTTGTGAAGCCATCTCGTCTAGTCACGAACCTGGCTTTGATACCACTTATCACGGGGCTAGACTGTCGGCTAGTTGGTCTGTGAGGTCCTTAGATGCCTCGCTCGATTGTTCGACGTCTAAGTTAGCCTAAACTCCTCGGTTAATGTTGCTATAGCGATGAGCAAGATGGAAAAGCATAAAAAAACATAAATAAGCGTGTGTGGGGAATTGTTTTCTACATGAATGTCTGAGTTTATTCACACAAAACTCTCTATATCCAATGGGGGTGGGGAGGTCTCATTTTATAATGAAGTCCCCTTACATCTCATGACTACTCCTAGTCTAACTACAAGTAAAACTCTTTACTTTAGTTGAAACTCTAATATTTGAGTCATATTCAAGGACTATGCTACTTGGCTTTATTTCCAAACTAATGGCCGATGATGAACATGATATGAAGCAACCGAGGATGAGAGAGGCAGGTGAGGATGTGACGAGTATAAGATCATATTCATGCCTACTCCACCACCAACAATAAATCTAAATTTTATCCCTATTCTTATCTCACTATCCACAAAACCTGTACTCATCCCGATTTAATTGGATGTGAAGTAAGATAGATCCCCATGAAACTCACCCCATAGATATCCTTAGTCTTAGTGATATTTTTTATACAAATAACAATACCAAATCTATTTTTTCAGTTAGGAATTCAAAATGAATTTAGTAGTTGAAGTTTTATGGTTTTTAATCATCATGAATGATGGTAACACCATGCAAAAGTTTCCAACATATAAAGCATATCCGTTTAGTGTAACAAAATACCTCTTCCATGAACTCAGAGTGACCACATAAGAATTAATGGCAAATGTAAAAGAAGCCTTGTGTCCCATGAGATGGATAGTCAGCCCTGTGTCCCATGAAATGGATAGTCACATATGAGTATGCTGCAACCGGAATAGATGTGAATCTTGCGTGCAAAGCAAAACCGAAGCTTGATCTCTGATGCAAGATGCAACTAGAATTGTAGAATTCCCAAGGGAAAGCACGCTCTGACAAATTTGCATCGGCCTCTACTATATTTAGGCAAATCAATACTCTACTCTACAGACCCTTCAAATCTGGTGATTGTGTCCTATATTACAGATCAGCGCCAAAACCTATCCTTGCATCTTGCCTGGACTTTCAAATGAAACACACATTTTACTGACGTACTAACCAAGACAACGCAACTGTAGATTATTTCTACGGCTCGTCCATTTCTAGATTTTGTCTGGGCCTTGGCTTAACTTGCGTCTAAAGTTTTACAGCCTCTACGACCCTTGCTTGAATTTCCCAAGCCCATGAAACTCAAGTGCTCTGTAATATGAACCACACCTAGGAATGCTTATCTAGCAAGGCGATCGCGAGTTAGACAATGTTCGATTCGTTATTGTTAAAAATAAATTGTTGTTCGACTTAACTTGTTGCTCGTTAAGCTCATTAAAATTGTGCTCGACTCGTGCTCGTTAAAAAAATTTACTACTCAGCTCGACTCGTGAGCTCATTAAGCTCGGCTCGGCTTGTTGCTTGTTAAACTCACTAAAAAAATTACCTTATTTTTTTAACTAGAAATAATATTTACTAATACTATATGAGGATATTAGGGTTGGGTTTGTTTGTTTGTATTAAAATAACATTATTAATTAATAATATTTTATTATTTATTAAAAAATAATAGATTAGTTAACTTATTATTTTTATTATTTATTACTAAATTAATAATTATTATTTAGATTTATTTTTTGAATGAAATAATTTGAAAGTAATTAATAAAAATATATTTTAAAAAATTAAGGAGCTACTCGCTAACTTATCAAGTCGAGTTAGACTTTACTCGACTCAGCTCATTAAGATCTCGAGTCGAGTTTGAATTTGAGCCGAGCCAACTCAAGTCAAACATTTACTGAATTTTGACCGAATCAAATTCGAGCCGCTCACAAATTGCTCAACTCGTTAACCACCCCAATTATTTAACCGCTAGCTCGGTTGAGGAGGAGCATGTTTCAGTAGGGCCAATAAAATTTCACTTAACAAAAATTATTTAATTTGATTTGATGTAAAAATATTCAATTTTATTTTATTTAAAAAAATTTAAATTCGAACCAAATTACAAAATAAATTCAAATAATTTAAAATTTTTAGTAATTAATGAATTAGTTTTTAAGCTAAATTATGATCCCTCAAATATGAAGAAATATATATATATATATATATATATATATATATGTATATGATTATAAAATTGTTTAAATTAGAATCAAATAGTACCATAACAATATTTATAATTAAATTTAAACAAAAACTCAAACAAATTTCTTAACTCGACTCGAAATTCTTTTAAATAAAAATTAAGCTTGAATCAATCAAATACGCACTCCTACATTTCAACTCAAAGTGCATGATGAATATATTTGGTAGGGCGATAGTAAAAAAGTTAGGCTTGATTTCCAACTTGAAAAAGCATGTGCTAAGCTTGGTCTCTTTTGCTGATTTTAAAAGCCGTCTTTTTTTTTCTTTTTTTGATACATTTAAAGGTCGTCTTTTGATACATTTAAAGGTCATAAAGATTGTTAGCTGCTCCAAACTAATTGATCATAAACAAATTCAGGCTTTAACTTATCTCAGTACACGACTTAGCCTTTCCGTTATTTAAATTGACAAGGAGACGCCACTTGTTGCACTCTGTGATCCCAAAAATTCCAAAACCATGAGGAGGATCGATGCATTATCAGCTTACCAGAAAAAAAAGAATGTAAAATCCAAAGCCCACTCAGATGGTCAGATTTCTCTATAATATACCAACACATAGCAAAATCTTGCGTGCTGCGCATTGTGAAGTTGCCACATACGCCTTTTTGCATGCACATCCCTAATGCTATGCGGCCACGCAGCTATTTACCCATACGCTTGTCATCTTCTCTCTCTACCACTAGCCTCTCTATATATGTGAGCCTCCATTTGTAAACAAAATCACTCGAGATCTAAAACTGATATTCCTTTCCGTTTTTTTTCTCCTTTTGATTCTGAAAGATGAGCACCGCTTGTGCTGAGCAACAACATAAGTTCATGGCTTCTCACAAAGTTCTGCCTTTGAGAGAGATTGAGATTCCTCCGAGGAAGCTTCTATTTTCACATAATCACGTCCAAGAAAACGCCGCCATGCAACTTTCTCCCTACGAAGCTATCCTGGAGAAATATCTTCTTTCCAACAGGAATTATAATGGTGAAGATGAAGAGAATGATGCCGATCCTTATGCGGCTGACCATTTCCGCATGTATGAATTCAAGGTGAGGAAGTGTACGAGGAACAGGAGCCACGATTGGACCGACTGTCCCTTCGCTCATCCCGGAGAGATGGCCCGTCGTCGTGACCCTCGCCGCTACCGCTACTCCTCCACCGTATGCTCAGACTTCCGTCGTGGCGGCGGATGCCCTCGTGGGGATGATTGTGATTTCGCGCACGGGGTGTTCGAGTGCTGGCTGCACCCTACCCGTTACAGGACCGAAGCCTGTAAGGATGGGAAGGACTGTAAGCGCAAGGTTTGCTTCTTCGCTCACTCTTCTCGTGAGCTACGTCTCTTGCCTGCCGAAGCATCTCCCAAGTACAAGAATTCAGGCTCTTGCAGCTGTTCACCGTTGAGCAGGAATACCCATTGCTGCTTGTTTTGTCACTCTGCTACCTCGTCTCCCACGAGCACTCTGTTGGGTTTGTCTCATTTATCAAGATCACCATCTTCATCACCGCCATTGTCTCCTGTGAAGAACGGGTTTTCACCCTTTCTTAGGTACAGCGATCAGCCGAGTAAGCTCGGAACTAAAACCATGAGTTACCGGCACGTGCTTAACGAGCTGATGAGCTCTATGGAGAAGATGAATTTCTATGAAGCCTCTTCACCAATGACTGGCCGGAACAACAACCCCACTATAACAAACATTCCCTGGCTTGATCTTCCTCTCATAGGAGAAGACCAGAGCCCGATACAGTTTGCTCTATCTCCTTCCTGGCCAAGTCCATCTGCCTCGGGACAACATTTTGGTGCAACCTCAAAACCCTTTGGCGGTGATGATGAGAAGCGCAATGAAAATGGCTTGGGATGTGATTCTGATCCCGATCTTGGGTGGGTGAATGAGCTGTTGATTTAGAGAGGATGACGATGACGATGAGAGGATCACATGTGGTGGGTGATACTGTCATGGAACAGTCGTACCTATATATATCTGAATATTCGATCTTCGAAGTGTATATATATGTGTGTGGTTGCTGATCTGATTATTGGTTCATGCCCTCAATTGTCTTTTTCGAATTCAGATTGTTAAAGTTGGTTTTGAATTTTGCTTTAATTCTGTTGGGAAGACCTTTCAAAGATATGTGATAAATTTGATCTTCCTTTATTTTATGTAATAAAACTTTGCAGTTATTGTTATTTCTTCGAAGTCCACATCCAGCATGTGTAACCTAATACAGGAAATGACTACATTCTGGGTCCAAATGTCATGCTTAAATAGGATTTAAAGACAACATGACAACTGGGAACACGTGGCTGACATGCAAGAGCTAAGGTGGCTCCGGCGATTAAATCTCAAGGATTCTTAGGTTCAAGGCCAGATACAATATAATAGATTTCTTAAATGAGAAGATAAAAGAAGCAAATGGTAGTAAGTGTAAATAGTATTAAAGTTGTTCCCTAGGAGGGTACTTAACATGAAAGAAGCAGACTGTTTATGCCTCACAACAATGGTGAGGGAGTACCCCATGCTCTAACCATCCACTCATGCCTGCCCTCTTCATTTTTTTTTTGGCTCGCATCATTCCCAGGACCAGAGTCCCCTCGTTCCCTTCTGCACCGCCACATACCTCATAATAATGGCTGCCCATACTTGAAAGTTCAACCAAATAGGGAAAGTACACTATTTGGTAGTGAAAGTACACAAATCGCATATTCATGCGGAAAGTAAGTTGATGACAACGATTATCTAAATATAATTAAAAATAAAGAAAAAATATTGGATTATCAGTAAACAAATAAATATGATTAAAAATAAAGAAAAACAAATAATATTTATAAATAAACAAACAAAGAATATCGATAAATAAACAAACAAAAAACATTGATAGATAAATAAATAAGTACAATCGAAAAGAAAGAAAAGAAAGAAAAACAAAGGACATCGATCTAAGGGAAAAATCGGATTATTGGTAAACAAATAAATATGATTAAAAATAAAGAAAAATAAAAATATCGATAAATAAACAAACAAAAAATATTGACAAATAGATAAATACTATCGAAAAGAAAGAAAAACAAAGGACATCTATCTAAGGAAAACCCAAGGGTAGAAGTAAAGATTTTACTAATATAAAAAAGAAAAAATATAAAAGGATATTAGAGAAAAAACCTAATATCTATTGATAGACGTAGATACTTGATTACAAAAGTAAAATTAAATAAAATAAAAATCTACTTTAATAAAGTCATATATTTTTAATCAAACTAAGATTCTTATTTTTTTCAAATTAAATATTAATTAATTTGTGTCACTTTCAATTCGAGTCAAACTCTAAAAATTCTCTACCTTAACGTGAATTCTGAAAGTGCAAAGATTTCAAGACAAAACATCCCAATTTGAGGTGGCACCTAATATTAACAAAAAAACAATTCTTCACTTCAATGAATAAGTTCTCTACCTCTTCCACAACATCCTTCAAGGGGTAATCTTCAGTAATGAACATAGATCAAATCCAAACTTTTTTAAGCTTGGATTTAGTATTCACATTGGCATAGTTATCATAAGTGTCAACTTTGCTCACAAATTGTATCACCATGAGCAATATCATGCACAACACGATCTCGATCATCAATGATACTTTTATATTCAAATTCGTTATGCCCACAAAATTATACTTTTTTCTACTTCACATAACAATTCTTCCCACAATTATCTTTGTTTAACAAAAAATCTTATTTTGTTTAATTTAGTCAAGACGTTTTTACCGGTAACTTTTTTTGACATGGGGAGACATTAACCGCATTATTTAAAACTGTTGAACTCTGTAGAACATAAAATTTGGCAGTCTTTCTCTGCCCTTTCATCACAACATAAGAGCCCTTGGAAATTTTCATATCTCCACCTTTACTCTCCACCTTCACTAAATGATTTATACCCTTTTGAATATAACAAAATTAGATTTCTACTCAAATATGGAACATGTCTCACATTACCAAGTGTCCGAACAATCCCATTGAACATCTTAATTTGATTGTGCCAATACCTGTGACTTTTTAAGAAACATTATTTCTAAAAAAATACATCACATGTAGATATAACTTTATAAGTTGCAAACCAACCACGATTGAGACTCATATGAAAACTGCTACCAGAGTCAAGTATCCACTCATCACTTGCTATAAAATTATTGTCGTCCACAACTAGGAGTTCTCCATCCTCACATTTTTCTACTACATCGGCCTCACTAGATTTTCTAGAGTTATGCTCTTTAGCTTCTCTTTTGATTTTATTCTATAACTTGTAACACTCCGATTTAACATGATCTTTTATAAAAGTGACAAGTTTTACTTTGGTTGCATGATTTTGATCAGTCACTTCCTTTACTACTAGAAGAATGCTAATATTTTCTTTCACGGTTTGAGCTAGTCGATCCATGCACCACGATACCCTCTACCTAGGGCTTAGAATCGGATACAAGATGTTTCACCTTGTCAAATGAGTACATGCCATTGTACACTTCTTCAAGAGTGAGTTTTTCATGGTTGTACAAGATTAGAGACAATTTCTTTGAATGCAGTTAGGTTCTCTTCAAAAGACAAACCATCCGCCAACTTGAGCGAATAAAGAAGCTGTTTTAAGTGCAACTTGATGGTCAACGATATCTACATGCATAGTTGCTCTAATTTCGCCTACCAAGAAGTAAACGTTTTTTTCTTTCAATACATTCAACAAAATTTGATTTGATAAGTGTAAATGAATATGAGAAAGGGCTTTATATTTCTTACGTTTTTCTTCGTTCGTCTAATTTGACAGTGTCTTCTTATCAAACTCTTCTAATGCATCATCTAACTCTAACTGTGCAAGGACATCCCGAATCTTCACATGCCATAGCGAGAACCTGGTATTGTGATCTAATAGCAGAATATCATACTTCACTGTTGCCATAATATTGAACATGAAGCTCTGATACCAATTTGTTATAATATCGAAATGTTTATCGATAAACAAATAAATACAATCGAAAACAACGAACACCAAAATTTATGTGGAAAACCCAAAGGAAAAAACCACGGGCAGATGTGAAGAATTTCTCTAATATGAAGGAACAAAAAATACAAGAGGATATTGGAGAAAGAAAAACATTATATCTAGCCTTTTACCCTTAGTATTTATTTATAAGGATATATACTTGATTACAAAGGAAAATTAAAGTAGAAATATACTTTAATAAAGTTATCTACTTTTAATCAAACTATGATTCTTACTTTCCGAATTAAATATTAATTAATTTGTGTCACTTTCAATTCGAGTCAAACTCTAATAGATTCATAGATTGAAGATTGAAGATTGACGATATCGAAATAAAGATCCAAAAAAGCTTAAAAGGGTAGGATATAATCATATCCATAAACTTTTTAGCTGAAAAAGTATAATGTGGAGGAATGTATCTAACTTGGACTTCAAGTTAATTTTAGAATCAAAATATAGGAATTAAGAGGACCCATCTTCATTAAAAGATATTAATGAGGCAGTGTGAAGATTTTGTCTTTGCAATGCTGGTTAGGTTGTATTTTGTGGTTGTTGCAATTGTCAACAGTTTGTCTTGATTTAATTTCGTTGTTTTATTGGATTTTAAGATTATTCTTTGTTGCAGGTTTTGTTTCGTCTAAATTATACATATTATTTTCCTCCATCTAGGTCTAAGGAGGTTTTTAATGAGGCATATAATTTGGATATATATTTTTATTTTTAATAAAATCTTCTTATCGAACAAAAAAAATACCATATTTTCTGAATTTATTTGTTTTATTAAATAAAATTATTATTTTTCTGAGTTAGACGTTAATCAGTTGTATAAGATATGTATTTTATAGGTTGAGTTAATGTTTATATTATATCATTGAATTAGTGTTCAAAATAGTAGTATATATTTTTAAAATATAATTTTATAATATCTCATTCAACATATTAGAAAAATAACATTTAACTTAGACGAACTGTTAACTTTTTAATATAGAAAGAAAAGATGAATTTATAATATATAAATATTCAAAAAAATATTTTATAATTTTTAATAATTAAAGAATTAATAAAATAATGTGTTATAGTCAAATAATTTTGCATCTTCAAAATTCTTAACCTTTTCATGGTAAAGAGGAGTTTAACTTGATTCTTGGAATGAATTGGCTAGAAAAGCATTAAGGTAATATGGATTGTGAGACCAAAAGAGCTATTTTGAAGACTTCTGATGATAGGAAAATAGTGATGATCGGGGAACGTTATGGGTTCCTAACAAATGTTGTGTATGCGTTGGTAATTGAAAAGATGATTAGGAAGGTTCCAAGTTGTTTCTTTCTTATATTATAGATACCAGATGTTCTCAAATTGACATAGAGGGAATCCATACCATTAAGAAATTTCCTGATGTATTCCCCAAGGAGTTGCCTAGTTTACCACCAGATAGAGAAGTTGAGTTTGAGATTAAAGTCTATTCCGATTCAACATGAGTTTCAATGGCTCCTTACCATATGATCCCTAAAAATCTTAAAGAATTGAAAGTCAAATTCCAAGAGTTATTGGATAATGGATTCATTCGACCTAGTGTTTCACAATGGGGAGCTCAATTCTATTTGTTAAGAACAAAGATGGGACATTGGGACTCTGTATTGACTACTAGAAACTGAACAAGCTCATGGTCAAAAAAATATCCTTTGTCTAGGATCGATGATTTGTTTGACCAGTTTCGAGGGGTAACCATCTTTTTAAATATAGACTTGAGATTTGGTAATTACCAACTCAAGGTGAAAGATTGTGATGTCCTAAAGACTACTTTTTATACTTGATATGAGGATTATAAGTTTTTAGTGACGTCGTTCAGTTAACTAATACCTCTGTTGCCTTTATGGATTTGATGAATCCAA